TGGCCACCAAGCCTGGATCTAGAATGAGGAAATGGGTGGGGAAAGGAATGGACTCTTTCATTGTTCTTTTTTGTTGCCTTGTTCAAACCACTATTTGCATAGTATGGCTGACAACCTCCCCACCATACCCAGATTTTGATATGCACTCAATGTCTGAAGAAGTCATCATGGAGTGCAGTGAGGGGTCAGTTACCATGTTCTACTGTGTCTTGGGCTTTATGGGTTTCCTGGCCGTGGTCAGCTTCTCTGCTGCTTTTCTAGCTAGGAAGTTACCTGACAGTTTCAACGAAGCCAAATTCATCACCTTCAGCATGTTGGTCTTCTGCAGTGTTTGGCTATGCTTTTTTCCAACGTATCTAAGCACAAGGGGAAAATACATGTTGGCTGTGGAGGTCTTCTCCATGATCTCCTCCAGTGCTGGCTTACTGATGTGTATCTTCTTTCCGAAATGTTTTATCATTGTAATGAGACCTGAACTGAACAATAAGCATCAGCTAATGAAAAGAAAGCTTTAGAAAATCTCCCTGTTTCCTGATTTCCTTTATATTTAGATGTTAGAGAACTTCCCTACTTGTAGATTAAAGTCAGAGGAGCAATGTGCAGTTAGATTGGCCTTGTACGTTGCAGTGCCTGCCCTGCCCACTGAGATTTGGATGGCTCTGGTCTTTTTTTCTTCCTGAGAGGCAAATATAAATGGGGCCATGTAAAATAGATAGATAAACAAATAAAAACACAAATTGATTTATTGACAATTTCAGTGTGGGAGTATATAGAGCCATCTAAAGAGTAGATGAGTTATTAGTCCCCTTTATAGACCAATGGAAATGGTTCTTCCTTATTTGATTGGTTACAATTTTGCTATACATCACAGTTTTCCATTAAATATAGATATTTATGTGAATTATAAATTTGTCTTTACTGGTCATCTTAATTCATATGCTCACTAGAATGGGTAAAAAGGAGTAGAGATTATATGCAAATGAGCCTTTCATTTTAGTAGAGAGGGGTTCTGAATTGTTTCTGAAGCAATGAGAGACTGGGAATTCTCTGGTGCACATCATGTGAGATGGTCACCTACAAAAAGGAGAGTAAAATCAAACGATCTTCCAGTTGGTCACCTGACTGACCTGCTGTCTTCTCCTCAGTGGCAAAGACCAATGAAATGTCTGGCAAAAAGTATTCTGCAAAATCCAGATAAATTCCATAGAAGTCTAATACATGTCAGTATCCAATTTACATAATGGTCCCTTTCTAGTAAATTCACTCACGCATGATCAATGTATAGAACAGCATGTTCCGTGGTCATAGGTCTGTTTGGAGTATGTGTGGTGCTGCAGCACTTGACTTAGGGGGCACATGGTGGTTCTCATTACCAGCGATGAAATCATTTTGGTTTCTCTGGGTGAGACGGGTTGGCATCAATAATTCCTAGGGAACAAAGCTTTGTTGTGGCTGCAGCGGCAAACGTAAGATGTAGAGTTCTATATAGCACATCAATTTTTTTTTTTTATATCAATGAGATTTAAATCGATAAAGGCTAGTTTCTGCCACTATCCAGAATTGTTTTGTCAACATTTCCTTTTGTGAGCGTGCTGCTAGGGAAGGCTGTGAATGAGTCAGGCTTTCCAGACCCATTTGATGAACATGAAACTTTTAGGGGGGAAGGGAGGCCAAGTCTGGCTTCTGCTCAGTGAAGAGGATCATACTGGTTATGTAGAGAAACATAAATATGTCCACTTGTAGTTCCAAGGCAGAATTAGATTGTCAACCTTCCATTCTTTAGAAACTGTGCAAGACTTGGTTGACGTGAGTTCAACGGAGCATGCTGCTTCTTTTTCCCTCTGCCCGTCTAATCAAATTAGGAGGGCAGGTGGATAATCAGGGATTTTAAGCAGCGAAAAGAGACTTAGCAGTGGAAAGAAAATGGGGAAGCAAGTGACAAAGAATGCTGCTGCTGCAGCACCAACTTGCAAAAAGAGAGGACG